GCTGTTCTGGTAGACATCAAAACACTCCAGCTTGACAAACACGATAACGTAATGTCAGGCATGCTGCTAGGACCAACACACAAAACATTCCCTCTTCTTCATATTTGCAATCCAGTCAAAAGCAGCATTCAGTGACCATCCTTGGTTGCCCATGTTTGGGTGATAGAAAGTTACTGTCTTAAAGCACTAATGTCCACATGGTTTGAATACTTCAACATGGGGAGAGGGGTGGGGGTTCGGATTCTGACTCTTGGACGACAAAGGAAAGGTGCATATGCCAAAGTAGGGTGCAATACAATGTGTGACTTGGAGAGGAACTTGCAGCTGGTGTTGAACTTGAAACTTTTTCCCTCGTTCTTATGTGTGCTGGAGGTTGTGGGTTTGTATTGTGCTGAAGAAGGAGCCTTGGTGAATTGTTGCAGTGCATCTTGTAGATGGTACATACTGCTTCTGCCGTGAGCTGGTGGTAGAGACAATGAATGTTGAAGGTGTGAATGAAGCGGGCTACTTTTTCCTGGATGGTATCAAGCTTCTTGAGTGTCATCAGAGCTGCACTCTTCCAGACAAGTGGGGAGTATTCCATCACACTCCTGGCTCATGCCTTTTAGATGGTGGATAGACTTTGGGGAGTCAGGAGGTGAGTTACTCACTGCAAAATTCCCAGCCTGTGACCTGCTGTTGTAGTTACAGTATTTATATGGCTAGTCCACTTCAGTTTCTGGTCAATGATGATACCCAAGCTATTGATAGTAAGGGATTCAGAGCTGAAATGCCGGTTCTGCCCAAGTTAAGAAAGTTGGCTATCCCAGAAATCCCCACTGTAGGGGTAAAACTGGTACCCTCTGCCAAAATGGCTGCTGGTCTGATAGTCACTCAGACTTTCCAGGCTTCTGAAAGAGACTGTTAAAATAATTATAAAGATCCTACCTACAACCTGCCTCAGAGACAAACACAGCTGGGACTGACTAAAGTGGATGGTACTGATTGCTGCACTGATGCTGTCAGACCTGCTGAGTTTTTCCAGCAATTTTTGTCTTTGTAACATCTCCCACAAAGAAATTCTCACACCGTTGAGGTGAATTTTATTTCAGAAATTGATTTGACTGTGGAGCAATTACATTTTAATGGCTTTCCACCTGCCTTTTTATCCAGCAGGCTTCTTTCATTTGATGAAATTGGTTAACAGGGAATGATACAGCTCAGAAGTTGGTCATTTAGCCCTCTGTGCCTGTGTGAGCATTTTGAAGATGTCTACTTAGTCCCAGTCCTCCTGCCCTTCCGACTAGACTGGCAAACAATATAGATGTGTTACAAAGCTGAATGCTATTTTGGTCTATTTAGTGCATTGCACAGTTTCTTTCGTCACTGATCTGCAGTATTAACCACACCTTCCTTCCTTCCCTAGCTGATATGTATTTCTTCACCAATATTAGTAAAACAAGTTCCATGGTTAATGACACGTTCCTGTCTGTGGTGCCATGCTGCGTACAAATTGTGTAACGTTTCTCTGCGTTACAAGTGGTAGTCTCTTTTCGAAAACGCTTCATTGGCTGTGACGTCCTTTGGATCAAGCTGAGTACATGAAAGGCGCTATGTAAATGTAAATTCTTTCCTTCTCCCTAAATGCATTAACCTGAGCATTTCCAGCATCTTTACTTCCTATTTCTAACAAGTTCGTTATTTTGATTTTGGTTCACGAGTGAGGTTTTCTCTACCTCTCAGCTGTGGTGTACCTGACCTGGTCAGTATTGGATGCTGATGTCGGCCATCAAATGCAGAAAGGAATAACAAGGTGTAGAGTTGGATGAACACAGCAGGCCAAGCAGCAACAGAGGAGCAGGAAAGCTGACGTTTCGGGTCTAGACCCTTCT